CGCTGGGACCCCGGCTCTGCTCGGCGGCCGAGGCCCGCGAGGTAGGGCTCGGGGCTGGGCGGGGCGCTTGGGACGGAGGGTAAAGGGGCTGCCCCAGGGATGTGGGGATTCATTGGGGTGCGGGGGTCGGGGGCTCGCCAGGCCCGGCGAGGAGTCGCTTCATCCCACTCCGCCTGTTCATCCAGGCCCCGGAGTCCTAAGCGCTGGGGGTCAATTCGGTCCTGTGAGTTTGAATCCCAGGCAGTGCCCAACTTTGGGTCTCAGCTGCCTCTTCCTGCTCTCTTGTGCCCTCTGCGTCCTGTCCGCTCTGCTCCTGTACCTGTCATCTCTGCCTGTCTCTTTGTCTCTGGGTCTCTAGCGGTTTCCCCTTCCTCCTCCATTCTGCTCCCCAGAGAGGAAGCCCCGGAGGTGGCCTGCTTGTCTGCGCGCTCTCTCACTCTTACTCTCTCTCTTTCCCAGTTTGCAAACTCAGCTCTGGAGTTCGGCGCGGACAGCAGCAGGAAAAACCTGCCCCGGCCCCCCCACCCCTGCCACCTCCCCTCCCCGGTTCTCCCGTCACCGACCAGGCACCCCCACTTCCCACAAGGCCCTCCTGCCATGTCGGACTCAGACGTCCCCAGGGGCCCTAATGCCCCCGCCATGTGGCCCCCCTGTTCCAGGGGTGCCTGAACCCGCTGTGGGAGCCCAGCCCCTCCCCCAGCCCTGCCCAATCCAGACCCTCAAAGACCATGAGTGGGGGCAAGAAGAAGAGTAGTTTCCAAATCACCAGCGTCACCACGGACTACGAGGGCCCAGGGAGCCCAGGGGCTTCAGATCCTCCTGCCCCACCGGCCCCCACCGGTCCCCCACCCCGCCTGCCCAATGGGGAGCCCAGCCCTGATCCAGGGGGCAGGGGTACTCCCAGGAATGGCTCCCCACCTCCTGGTGCCCCTGCCTCCCGTTTCCGGGTGGTGAAGCTGCCCCATGGCTTGGGAGAGCCTTATCGCAGAGGTCGCTGGACATGTGTGGATGTTTACGAGAGAGATCTGGAGCCCCCCAGCTTTGGCCGACTTCTGGAAGGAATTCGAGGGGCCTCGGGAGGCACTGGGGGCAGATCTCTGGATTCCAGGTTGGAGCTGACCAGCTTGGGCCTGGGCACCCCCATCCCACAGCAAGGCCTGTCTCAGGGCCCCACCTCCTGGCTCCGCCCGCCCCCCAGCTCCCCTGGACCTCAAGCCCGCTCCTTCACAGGGGGACTGGGCCAGCTGGCTGTGCCCAGCAAGGCCAAGGTGGAGCCGCCCCTCCAGTCGGCCTTCCCGCCCCAGCAGCGCCCCCCAGAGCCCAGGACTGGGGACAGCACTGGCACGTCCCTGGCTGCCACACCCCTGCACTCTCTCAGGGTGGAAGTGGAGGCTGGGGGCTCAGCAGCGGGGACCCCGCCACTGTCCCGGAGGAAAGATGGAACTGCTCGGCTGAGGATGGATTTGGTTACCCCAGAGGAGACTGGACAGGTAAGAGTTGGATTCCAGGTCGGGGAGACACCTGGAGGTTTTACTTGGCCTTTTTAGCCTTGGTTTAACCTCCATCCGGGGCTTCCTTGCCTGCAAGTCCATCCTGCTCTTCCCACCTCTGTTGTCACCTGTGTATCAGGTGGTTCTGACAGCCCCTCTTTTCTCTCCCTGCCATCGCATTTTGAAGTCAGCCCCTCCTCCTTTATCTCTCTGGCTCCCTCTTCCCTGCATTCTTGGTCTTCTGCCTTTCTCTTTGGCCTTTAAATTGTTGCTTTTGGCTCTTTGACTCTGTTTCCATAAAGCCTGTAGCGTAAGTGCCTGCTCACTTCAGCTGCACCCTCTGTCTCGCCCTTACCCCCTCTGGCTCCAGGTGATGTGTGTGGAGGCCCCAGCTGGGTGGCTGGGCCCCTGAGGGAGGAGCTGCCAGGGTCTGGGGCCGCCCTGAGAGGTAGGCATTCCACTGCAAGACTGTCAGATCCACTGTGCTCTTCTTTCCACCAGATACCCATCCTTGCCCCCTCACCAGTTCTGTTGCAAACCAAGTTTCTTTGAGGAACTGAGAAGTTGGGGTGGGCAGCTGGATTACAGGGATGGGAGCAGCTAGTTTGTCCTTTCACCCCTCAGTCTTCTGTTTTAGTCTTCTACACCTGAGTCCATCCAGCATTGATAGCTGGGGGTGGCTGCCCCCTCTTCGGAGTGGGAGAGGCAGGAAGCAGGGGGAAGGAGTTAAATGCTGCGCTCTTTCTGCTTCCTGCCTCTGAAAGAGGAACAAGTCTGGGTTGGGGGCAGGATGCCTGGGTCCCTGGCTGGGGGGTGGGCAGCCAGGGATGTGAGGGTTGGATGCTTCTGCCCTGGAGGAGAAAATAACACCTTGGTCTCTGGGAGGGAGGAAGGGCAGGGAGGATGAGGGCTTTTTCCCCTTCCTGGCCTTGGGCACAAACCACAGTGTAAAAATATCCTGAGCCTGGATGTCTGGGCCCTGTCAGGACCGGTCAGGACTGGCTCCCCCCACTCCCTCCTGGCCTCCTGCTCTGCTCTCCTGACCCTCACCCCTCCTTCTGGAGTTCTTTCATTCAGTTCCTACTCCAGGGGAGAAGATGCAGTCCCTGTCCCCAGACTCATCTAGCACAAGCCACCAGCCTCTCTGCCCTCTGGCCTTAAGCCCTGCTGGAGCCTCCCCTGGGACTGCAGACCCTGCCCCTCTCCCCTCAGTGTCACCAACCTTTTTCCTTCCACCACCGAGTCCTGATCACTCCCTGTGTATTGCAATGGTGTCATTTCCCTGCCCCCAATTTTTTTCTTCCGAAGTTTCCCATACTTCTCAGGCTGGTGGGGGAACACCACCTGGGCCCCCTTCCTCACCTCTGTCCCACTCACCACCCTGGACTCTGTTCCTGGCTTTTCTGAGAAGCTGGGGCCTCCCAGGGCCTCCCAGAGGCGTCTTGTGTTGTTTGTGTCGCCCCCGCCCTTTTGCAGCCACCCCCAGTGCCTGTTGGGCTTCATGGGTCCACACCCAGCTCCGCCTCCCCCATCTCAGCGACCCCCCTCTGCCCCAAGCAGGGCAGAGAGGAGCTGAACTTCACCTGAGGCCCCAGGAGGTGGAGGGGAGAGGCTAGAATGGGGGTGGGGGTGTGGGAGGACCAGTTTCTGAGGATTCATTCATTCTACAAATAGCCACAGAACAAACTTACCTTCTAGTAGGGGAGACACAATGAATACTTTAATTTCAGATAATATTAGGTGCTATAAAAATGAAACAGTTTAGTGGGCTGGTGGGTGGTGGAGCAGCACCTCTCTAAGGAAAGGATGTTTGAGTGGCTCGAAGAAGGCAGCTGGACCTTGTGATATAGCTCAGCTGTGGGGTGCTTGTTTAGTATGTGCAAGGCCCCAGGTTCCATCCATAGCACTGAGAAAAACAAAAGAAGGAAGGTGCCAGAGATTCTGGTCTGGGGGCAAGGAGCAGGGCTGGAAGGCAGAGCCCCTGTCTGACACCCCATGAGCCACTCACCCAGTCCTCCAAATGACTAGGTCCCTTGCTGCTGGTAGGCCCACTGCCTTCACCAGGGCTGGGGAGGGCAGGGCTTTGGGGGTGGGACTCCTGGGTCCTGGGGAAAGAGTAGGCAGGGGCAGGGCGGGAGACCCCTCTTCTCTCTCTCAATCTCAGTGTGACAGTTCCCACTTCTCTGCCCCCAGGTGCGCCCCCTTGACTCTCGCCCCAGCTCCCCGACCCTCTACTTTGACGCCAGCCTTGTTCACAAGTCTCCAGACCCCTTTGGCACGGCAGCAGCCCAGAGCCTCAGCCTGGCCCGCTCCATGCTGGCCATCAGTGGTCACCTGGACGCCGATGACGATAGGTAGGCTCTGCTGGGGGGGAGGCGTGGGCACGTGGGCTAGCTGCAGGTGGCCTTCTCCTGAGGTGAATTTGGAGGGGATCTTTTAAACAGAGACCTGGCTGTGGCATGGCCGCTGGGCAAAGTTGATTTGGGACCCATTCCCTCTCTCTGGAGAGAGCTGGGGGGGACTCCCTGGCTTAGTACTGTCAAGTCAGAGACTTTTTTTAGAGTTTGAAGGGACTTATTGTTGTCAAATTCCAGAGCTCTTGCAGATTTAGAGATCTTCTGGCCAACCCTGGGAACCCACTGGCAAATGTGCTGCAGACAAGAATAGGCACTTAGTCTCCTGTCAGCTCCATCCCCCTCTGTCCCTAGGGATGGGAATAGGGTGCATTAGGGTCCTCATGGACTAAGAAGGGACGTCCTTACAGTTCACACAGACCACCTTAGGGACCTAAGACTTCCAGGACGAAAAAGTGTTACCCTAAAATTGTGTTGCCTTGGGAAATGTAGCCAGCAGACAGAGTGAAGGGTACCATGGGGGCTGAGCCCTGCCATGGCAAAGCCATCAGATAGCTGGAACTGTGCATGAGGGCAGAACTTTCTGGCTTTGTCCTTTAGGGGAGAATGCCCTGTTTGGTGACAGGGTGGGCAGGACTTCCTGTTTTGAGGACCAGGTTTCAACATTCCTAGGAATGTTGGTCAGCTGAAAAGAGAGAAACAAAATCGCAAGTCAGATAACTAGGTTTCTGGTTTCTGGACATGGACTGATAGGAGGTGAGGAGAAAGGATAGGGAGCCACCACGATTATTTGGAGGGAGGAGTGGGACTTCCTGTTGGAGACTGGAGAGGAGGGACTTCCTCTCTGGGAGGAAATGGGTGGGACTTGAGGAGGGGGTGAGTGGGTGCTGAAGGGACCCATTCCAGATGGGAGTTGCTCCTTCCTGTCTTCCCCTAGGTGGCGCCACCCCTTGGAAGCAGGGCCTGAAACCTACAAAAGAAAAGGCCCAGGGGCACTGAGGAGATTGAGGAGCCATAGAGGAGGGGGAGTGGGGTGGCCAGGAGCCAGTCAGATGGAGGGTGAGGGGCTGGTGCCAAGCAGGGCTGGGCAGGGCATGGTAGCTTCTGCGTTCCCTTCCAGCTGGCTCCCAGGAATGTGTGAGGTGTGAGGTCGGCCAGGGCCAGGAGAGGAGTCACCTGCCCCCAACCCTGCTATTCTCAGCTCTTCCCCACCCTCTCCCCTCCCAATTGGGAGGTTCCCTGGCAAGAGGGCTCCCTGTCCCTCCTCCACCCTTGTTGATTTCATAGCCCAGCCTCCTGCTTTCTCTGTCTTAGAGGGTTCTGCCTCCAGAGGCCTCCTCAGCTCTAGTCCTTCAACTTGTTCCCTCCCTCTTTCCCTCTGCACACCCTAGTCTGACCGGTCCAGCTCCTGGCCTCCGCTTTTCCCTGCCAGCTCCAACGCTCTTGGGCTTTGGCCTGGCCCAGCCCCTCATGCCCCATCCTGCTAGGCGAGTGGGTTTGGGTTGGGTCTCCCCGTGCCCCTAGGAATGGGGTGTGTGAGATCTACCTCACCTGACTGGTGTGCAGTGTGCATGGCTGGCAGGAAACCAGGGTCCCAGGGGCATGGGGCCTCTCTTTTGAGATGGAAAGTGGGCTGGGGCATTTCATGCCAGGTTCTCAGGTGAGGAAGTGGGGGTGCCTTACCAATCCTCAAATTTGGGGATAGGAGAACAGAGATTGGCTGGTGAGTTCAGACTGCTCACGTGTTCCTGAGTTGGAAGATCCTTGTGTTCCCCATGAGGTCTAGCAGGTGGGAAGTACTTGGTCAAGGTGTGAATAAGAGGAAATATGGACAGGCCTGGGAGCAGAGTCCAGGCTTTGAAGGAAGTAGTGCCCTCCTTTGGGTTCAGTGCTGCGTCTTAGTTCTTAAAATACTACAAGTAATCCCATGATTCCGCCTTCCAGATGAAGAAACTGAGACTCAGGATGGGAGGGTTTTAGCAAGTTTCCCAGGGTCATCCAGCTAGTGAGCAGCTGGGCTGCAGTCAGCCTGGGTCTGACCCCAAAGCCATGCTCTCTCCAGTCTCCTACAGGGACACCTGTGTCCCACAGAAGAGGTGGTGGCTCTGGGCTCTGTGGTGTCCTATCTCGAGGACAGAGGTAGTGACAGTTCACTCACATGGGGCCGAGAGCCAGCCCCCTCCCTTCCCTGGCCTGGCTCTGCACCCAAGGGCATCACAGGTCCAGGAGGGGTTATAGACAGGGCAGCCAGATCCCATTTTCTTGGCTTCAGGCCCAGTCCCTGGGGGTTCCAAGAACATGAAGGGTCCAGGGTTGGCTCTTCCCAGGATCTGACCTTCCCCACCACTCCTAGATACCCTGTGTCTTCATCTTATCCTCACATTGAAACTTTTTGTTTGACCTTGAGAGGGAAAGGCCAGCTGCTAGGATAGTCCTCACCAGAGGACCCCAGAGTCCTACAGGGTCACAGGCCCCAGCTGTGCATGTTACGTACTGCACAACTCCAGGGGGTGCCTCTCACATTTGCAGTCACAATCCGTGTCTGAAAGTCACAACAGCTTTCTGGAAGATGACAGTAAGTGTGTTGAGGAAAGGGGTATTTGGTTCTAATTCACAGAGTTGCTTTGAGCCATGTGGGAAAGGTCTGTCCCGCCATAGCTTCCTGTTCCTGACCCGACCCAGGATTTCAGCACAGTGCCACGGCTTGTCACTCAGAGGTTCTTGAAGCAAGGCCTCAGGTGGCCAGAGCTGTGGTGCCTTGAAGTGTTGTGCTAGAATGTCACAGGGGAAGTGTGGTCAAAATGTCAGCATTCGGCTGGGGATTTAGTTCAGTGGTTCCGCCACCTGCCTTGCAAGCGCAAGGACCTGAGTTCGATCCCCGGTACCAAAAAAAAAAAAAAATTCTCCCCCAAAAAAAAAAAAAAAAAAAAAAAAAAAAAAAAAGTCAGCATTCGACAGGAGGTAGCTATCTATCCGCCAGCAAATATTCATTTCTGGCCAGAACGAGCACCTTACTTGGCGTTTCTGCCCAGGTGTCTGCTAGGCAGGCCTGGTGATTCTGTCCCCGTGTGTCTGTCCCTTTCTAGTGTCTGTGCGGACTGGGGTGGGTGGGGTGTTGCGTTCTCCGTGGTGGCCCAGTGTTCACTCAGGTGTCATGGATTGAAATAGCTGGAGAGCTGCATGGACACAGGCTGGTCCGCCCTCTGCTCTTGAGCATCCCCTCTCCCCTTTGCCCTGTCCCCTGGAAGTCCCTGGTGTCCTTCCTTGGTGCTTGTCCTGCTTCTCGGGCATGCTCGTCACTCCCTTAGTTGTTCTACCTGTCAATGCCTTCCGCACCCACAGATTGGACAGAAAATGGAAAATTCCTGGCTCCCTCCAGCTCCTTTTCTGGCTGCAGGGCCTCATGCAAGGGTCACCTTGGATTGAGAGCTAGTCCCCTGGTAGGAAACAAGTTGAAGTGATAGCTGGGAGGGGAGGCCTGCAACAAAGCAGCAGCCATGGAAGGCAGTGTGGGGCCCTGGCTCAGAGCGGGGCTCAGTAAGGGTGGGGAGACCGGACCTGTGATCCTACCGTACAGGGGTGAGGGTGAAGGACCAGGCAGAAGCTGGCCAGGAAAAGGCAGGGCCCTGGAGTCTGGGCAGTGGAGGGTCAGGATGCAAAGGCCTCTGAAGACCCTAGGCCACCAGAGCTTCAGGAATCAGAATCTGGAACTGAGGGCCCAGCATACTGGGACTAGCTGGGAGCCTGGTTTTGGGGGTCTGTCACCCAGTCCTGAGTTGCCCTCTGGTGGCCACATAACAAACTGCGGTCAGAGCTGCTCCTGTCTCTCGGTCATCTCCCTCCGAGCTCTGTTGCAAGGCCCGGATCCTCTTCCCAGTGTCCCACCTTCAGCCTAACCTTCCTACAAGCCTTCAGCCCTCACTCTCTGCATGACCCCAGGTGCAGGTCCACCACCATTGGCTGGATTTGATTTCTGGGACTGGTTGTCTTGGTTTCTATTGCCATGGTGACCATTACCATTCCTTCTTCACTGTGGGTGTGAAGGACCTTCTGGCTCAGGCTCTGGGGGTCAGATGATATGAGGAATTTGTGTTGGGGGTGCTCACAAGCGCCTCAGAGCCTCTGCTTCACTACCATGGCTTCCCCTAGGCCTTGAGGGAGAGGTCTTCACCCAGAGGGGCAGGAAGGGGTCAGAGGTGGAAAGAAGACCCCTCCCCAACCCAGGCCTCCTCCCCACAGCTCTTTCCTTGTGCCCAGGCCAGCAGCTGACTCCCCCCGCTGCCCCTCCCTTCGACTCTGGGAGTGGTGCCAGGGTGAGAAGGGGACACTGGCACTGGCCAACCGTGTCTGGGAATTCCCGCCCACAGTAGAGCTGTGGGAGGGGGTCCCCGTGTCCCTGAGGAGCCAATAGCAGTTTGGCCATGCCCCGGGGGGTGGTGTATATCTCCCAGGCCAGCACCCCCTGAGCCCTGTCTCCTCTCTGCCTGCCTGGCACCAGCTGGACCCCACTTTGCCTGGGGGGCGCTGAGCCCCCCAGGTACTCACTTTGATACTGCTCTTTCTCTTTGGGGGAGACCTGAGGACCCTTGCATCTCAGGGATGGCCCAGTCAGGAGTCTCTGTCAAGTCCCTGGTGTCGTCTTTTGAGACCCAAGTAGTGAGAACAGCTCTGGGGCCGCCCCGAAAAAGGGGCTGTGTCTCCTCTCCTTGCTCGCCACGGGGAGCATCCCCTATCCGAGGGGCACCAGGGCCGCCACACCACCGGGGCCTTGGGGGGCCTGGGCAGCGGCCCTCGGCCTGCAGAGGGGTGGACAAAACCCTGCTGCCCCTGATTCTCTACTGTCACAGGTACAGGGGCCGTGGGACTGAGGCTGCCGCCAGCCCCCTCGGGGAGTCCGAGCAGCCTCCACGAAGGCCCCTGACTCCTCTCACCTCCCTCCTCCCTTTGTCTCTGCAGTGGCTCCAGCATGCTGACCGGCATTGACAACAAGATCGAACAAGCCATGGTAAGAGAGGACATCTCGGGTCTCAGTGTCGCCCCTGCTGGCCCCATTCCTCGGGAATACTAACTCTGCACCCGGGCCCTGGCCTGCCTTTGGGCCCCGGTGCCCATCCGGGTCTGAGCCCTGCCCCTGTCCCTCATCCTTGCCCCTCGCCCTCTGCCTGCCCTGGGTCCTCCCCCATCGCCCATCCTCCTTGGCCACAGGGACCTCTCAGGCCACACCCTCCAGGCACTGGGCAGGGGATGTGGATGGGTGGCCTGGCCGCCCTGACACTTCGCCTGTGCGGTCCTCAGGATCTGGTGAAATCCCACCTCATGTTTGCGGTCCGGGAGGAGGTGGAGGTGCTGAAGGAGCAGATCCGGGACTTGGCGGAGCGCAACGCGGCGCTAGAGCAAGAGAACCGCCTGCTGCGCACCCTGGCCAGCCCGGAGCAGCTGGCCCAGCTGCCCTCCTCGGGGCTCCCCCGCCTCGGGCCCCCTGCACCCAACGGCCCCTCCATCTGAGCCTCCTGTGCCTCACAATGTGCCTTTGGGGCTGCCATGGCCGCAGGGCCTTGTGCCAGCTGCCTGCCCCCTCTTCCTATGCAGCTTTAATGTCCCCTGATCCCAAGGATTGGGAGTGCAAGGCTCAGCAGTGGCCTGTGCCCCCCTCCCTAGCCCGGTCTCCCCAGTCCCAGGCTTGAAGGAGGAGGGAGGGCTCAGCGTGGGGCATGGATGGATGGCATCCCC